CGGCCTCCCAGCCTCCCCCCGGTCTCTGCAGGAGCTCCGGGGCCTCGCGTGCAGCCGGCCAGGTCCTCATCCTGCCCCTCCTGTTCCTGTGACATTAGAGCAACTCCCGCCCCAATCGCCACCGCGCCTGTGCCAGCGGCAGACGTCCCGCCACGGACTCTGCTCCCTCCTCTCTCACAGTCTCTCTGCGGCTTCGCAAACGTTACATAAATGGCTCACTGCTGCGCGTCCCCAGGCAGGAGCCTGCGTCTCCCTCTGCGCGTCTCCCTCTGCGCGGTGGGGACGACAGTCATCCGCAGGGATCGGCCTCTCGGGTGGGGGTGGTGAGACCGTGGGCCTCTTCGTGAAGGTGACAGTGCTCCCCTGACGTGAGGGACCAAGACTACAGGGTGTTGTCGGTGTCGCCTCCGCTCAGACGGGCCAGGGGCTCCAGGTGGGACCAGATCGAGCCGCTGTCGTCACGGCCGGTCTGTGTGCGAGGGAGGTGGCTGAGCGGCCAGTGCGCACACAGCCCTCCGGGGGCTGCAGAGCTCTCATCGTGCTCACCGTGAGGCTGAACGGCACTACGTTTACGGTTTGATGGCAAAGAAACAGAACAAAGCTGCTCCCCGTGGTCCGAACACGCGGGCAGGGGGTCACCCTCCTTCGGACGAGCTCCCAGCTCTCCGTTTCGGGCATCTGCCGTCTGGAGAGACCCGAGTCCTCCTGTGCCACCGCCTCGCCCCACACCGTCCCTGGCATCTGCTCTCCTCCCCCGTCTTAGAAGGTAACGTGTGTTCACCAGAAACTTAAGTGCTGACCAAGTCCTGGGAACGATGTCGGATGTCGGGGCACCAGTCTAGGTTCCATCCTGCGTCTCCTCCCAGCTGTCAAGTCAAACTGTCACACGGGACCCCAGCAGCCGTCGGGGCACCAGTCTAGGTTCCACCCTGCGTCTCCCCCCAGCTGTCAAGTCGAACTGTCACGCGGGACCCCAGCAGCCCCGGACTGTCGGGAGGCCCCCGACTCTGCCCTTGGCCCTGGCCCCTCCCTCCGCTCTGCGGGAGGTCTGGGTCTGGGTCCAGGACCACAGTCCTGCCCAGGGAGCCCTACCCGGCAGGCCCTGGGCCAGCACTCTGGGCGGCCACCTTCCTGTGGTCCCTGAGACTCACTGTAGCCTCTGCAGGAGCTGCTTCCTCCCCTTGAGGCGCAGCCTCCAGCTTGAGGTCTGTTCCCGGAGATGGTCGCCAGTAAATGGGAGGGACTGCGGGGAAGGGGGTGACCTGCAAAGGCGCAGCCAGGGATGGCGAATTTGAGCTGGGCTAGAAGAGGTGGCTTCGAGGAGAGGGAGGGAGGAGGGAGAGAGGGAGAGAGCGAGAGAGAGAGAGAGAGAGAGAGAGAGAGCTTCGAGGAGAGGGAGGGAGGAGGGAGAGAGAGAGAGAGAGAGGCATGAACGAGGGGCCTTCCGTGGGCGGGAAGGTCATGGGGAAGGTCATGGGCAAGGTGCAGGCCGGCACACTGGGGGAGGGGCTACTTGGGACTGGACCAGAAGATGGAGACCTGGCTTTGTGGCTGTGGAGTGAGGCGGTGCTGGGACACTGGAGCGAGTGTGTCCAGTAGGAGGGAGGGAGGACGGTCTGCAGGGTGGCCGCTGGTCCCCCGGGAGGACGACAGTGCCGGGCACAGACTTTACAGACAGACGTCGTGGGAAATGCAGGGAAGAGGGTGGGGAGCTGCCTCGTCGCCCCAGTGCCTGGATGGTGGCCGAGGAGACTGCAGCGCGATCCCCTAAGGGCCAGGGAGCGAGAGGAGGGGGCTGAAGACCAGCCCCGGGGTGCCCTGCGTCTGCGGGCTGGGGACAGAAGGAGGGACATGAGCTGCCGAGTGGGAAACGCTGGTTTGAGTCCAGGCTCCGGGTGCGGGCGGAGCCCAGGTGAGCTTTGCGTCAGGCTGGGCTCCCTCTGTAACAACGCACGGACGGAAAACATTGTTCCTTGGCTTACACATTCGAGGTCGCATCATGTGGAGCGGGGCCTGGCAAATTAATTTTTTTCCCTCCTCTTCCTTTTTCCCCCGTTACCCTCTCTCCTCTGTCCGTCGGCCCGTGGCGCCGGCCTGAGCGAAGTCCTCAGTCACAGGAAATGTGGATGTGTTCTGTGCTGTCAAGGTAGAGCTGCTATTTTGGACCGCAAGTCACTTGCTTAGAAAATAGACTGAAATAGCCCGACAGGAACCTGCTCGCTGGGGAGTCTGGGGGGTGTCACGGGCTCCGCACTGCGCTGGCTTCGTCAAACCAGTTCAGCGGGAGGGCTCGTGCTGTGACAGCTGGCTTCTAAGTGCCACTACTCACGCCCCTTGGGAACACCATTGCTGACGCCCTGACATATTCATTCACTCGACACACAGTCATTGAGTCAGGCGGATTAATTTTGCGTCGACCGTTTGCGATGGCCTGGAGCGCCTCGAGCGGGTTTTCCAGGGTCACACGGCGGCTCAGCCAGAAAGAGTTCCATGGTCCGTTACCAGCATCCGCTACGGTTCGGTACTGCACGGTGGTGGCCCAAATGCTATTTTTCTGCATCCCCGACTTGGCACAAATCTACTAGGACCTGGTAGGCTGAAGTGGTCACAAATATGATACAGAAAAAAAGGGATCTTACCTCTTTTTCCTTTTGACCCTAAGACGATGCCACGGAACCTAGCGCGTGGTGTTGTGTACGCATCATACCTTTCCCATGATTCCGGTCTGACTCTTGACGAAGGAAATAGAACTCAAAACAAATCTGTCGGGATTATCAAAGGCCCCTTCTTCTTCTACTGCGAGGAGTTGACCCCATATGTCGCTTTGCCTCAGCTTCTAAGACCAGAGCGTGAGGTGGACAGCGGCAGGTGGACAGCGGCAGGCCCGTGGAAGCTGGCCCCGTGTCACAGCTACGCGGAAAGGGTCACTCACATAGATGGGCATAAAAAGAAAACACGGAATCTTTGAACTGGCAGATCGAATAACGTGTGACATTTTTTTCCATCCCCACGATAACCACATCGACCGGCAGGACACTGGGCGGCAAGGGCTCTAGAGCCATGTGACACAGGGCGGCACGTGTCCCCACTGTGACCTTCGAAGTTGCCTCCACGGCTTCTGGCCTTTTGTCTCTTCCATGTGAAATGTAGATTCAGCTTGTCAAATTCCGCGAAAATCAGAGGCGTGACTTTGCTTGAAATTGCCTTCCGTTTCCGTAGGAACCAAATTTCCTTCTTCAGGCTGGTTTCCCGCGGATCAGAGTCTGCCCGGCCTGTCGATGGGGCTTTGGGACGCTGCTCTGAAGGTCTCTCCCACCTTCCGTTAGATCTGCGAGATGCTTTATAGTTGTTCTAATTGTTTTGTTTGAAATGGTTTTTTGTTCATCGTAATTTCCGACTGGTTATCCCTGGTACGTAGGAACGTTGTCTTTACGTGGTGGCCTTAGACCCAGTGATGGGTTGGGAAGCTCTCGCCAGCTGTCACAGTTAGGACGGCCCTTTGGACGTCTGTGGAAGGCACACGATCACGTCACCTGCTACTAAGGACAGGCTTGTGTCTTCTCCTAATTCGAACTCCCGTTATTTCTTTATCTTGTCTTCCTGTACTGGCTAGGACTTCCAGCACAATTGGATCAATTATTTTGTACTATTACTGGCTTTTACTGTGAAAGGTATTTTAGCCTGAAAAATTATAAATCCTCTAAATAAGCTTGTTTAAGCATCTCCTATAAGAGAGTTTGGGACTAATATCATTTTTCTGAGGGATTTGGAGGGGGGCGTGGAATTTGATTGCAAATTCAATTTCATTAACTGTTATTGACATGTGACAGTTTGTTATGACTTAAGTGAATTTTGATATCATGTATATCTTTTAGAAAAGTTTCCATTTCATCTAAGTTTTAAATTTATAAGCGTAAAATTATTCATGGGATTTTGTTATCATTTTGAACCTCTGTGGTATTTGTAGTTAGCTTGCTATATGGTTCCAAATATTATCTATTTTAGGCTTCTAAAATATTAGTCTTTCTAGAAGTTTTTCTTTTATTAAAGAAGCAGCTTTACTATACTTGAAAAAGAATGAGGGTTTATTTTGTTATTTTTTTCACCTGTGATATAGTCATAGTATATAGAATAATTCTACAAAAAACATTTCTATGGATGTTTTATGTAGATA